GGGAAGGAAGGGAAGCACAAACCACCCACCGGGCCCAAAGCGTAACCGCGTTGCACGAGGACGGCGGGGGGCGCATCAAAGGTGGGGTTCCACGCATGGTGATGTAACTTCATTTCACACTACCACGATTCTCATAAAAAGGTCTTAGTACATTATAACATTTGTTACATCAAAGTATTATAACATTTTATATCTCAATTAAGTGTACTTAAAGCATTTTGGGTTGAAAATTGTTTATTAGAGTTTCTATGTGAAATATTGTATAAATTAATTTCTCATAGTTTACCTCAAAGCCCAAATATTATATTTAATTAAGAATAGTTAATTTTAAATGAAAAAAAGTTGAATTGTCAGGGTTGCTTTTCAGGCAAACTATTCTCACTGAATTGCAACCATCACGAAGATCATGATGTTTTAATTGTACGATGATTGAGAGATATAAAAAGCAAATAGTTGTAAATAAACTACACTATATGTTATTAAGAAGTTAATTTCTCCTATAAAAGAAATGAAATTTTATGTGTATTATCAAATAGACAGTTTCCCTTATAGAGGAAAGGTGGGTTTATAAGAATGAAGAGAAATGGAGGTTTGGCAGTTTTCCATCGCTATGCAGCTGTTTTTCTTTGTGGACAAAGGGATGTAATAATTGAGATTTAAATTTGTTTTTAATCATTGGAAATGTCTTACACTGGCGTAAACGTAAATCATTTTAATTGTTTTTCATTATACAGAAACGAAAGCAGAAAATATCTTAGTTGTAGAATGTTTCGAATTATATTATTGTAAGCACATATTTATTAGGAATATTTAATTTTTTAACGAGTCTTTCTTGGGGTCATTCTGAGAAAACATGATCAGAAAAATGAATCTAATAATCCAATCAATGTTACCTCTTTAGAGAGAAGTGCAGAATGAAGAAAAAATGCTAAAAGTCACGTCGAGTTTAAAATCAAGTAATGTGCAAACAACAGACGAAATGGAAAGATGGTATCCAAACCAGCTAATTTCTTTAAACCAAATTGTTTGCTTTGTGATATTGCTAACCTCTAATCATACAACTGTCAAACAGAATAATCTTGAACCACTTGTTGATCGATGGCAAAAGACAATGTTAAAATTCAAATTCATTGTTATTTAAATAAAACATCATAATAATTTGGTCATGCTTTTTTAAAGAACTTAAGTTTCTGAATGAAGATAAATATTTTCTCATTAACACTTTTAATCTACCAAGCTCAACAGATTATTTTAGAATTTGCTAACATGTTCTAAACTACTTTTATTTGGTTTTCCCTCTTCTTAGTTCATAAAAAGGTGCAGAAGTACTCGATTTTCGTGAGTTATTCATTTACACTAAAGAAAAAACAGTGAAACTGGATATTTTGAAGCTACAAAAGTAAAACTAACTAGATAGATGAGTAGAGACTGTTTTATCGACAACCAAAGTAACGAAAGACAGACAATAATTCGTGTTTCTTTTCGTTCTTCCTGGTGCTCGAATTATACACCCGGAGGACAGATTATGCAACTAACTTTTACTGCGTGAATGGTTCCCAGTGAACCCGTCCCCAATTAATCGCTTCTCATGTCTTTAAGAGGAAGAGCAAGTTGTCGCAACAATGATAATAACAACGAAGAATAAAAAATAAGTAACCAGAGCGTCTTGAAATAAAACAATCTCAAGATGTACCGGCGCAGTAATTGCTCTGGTGGGACTATTTGGAACGAAACATCGATGGGAAACTTCGTCTCAGAAGCATTCAGGATTTCTCCATGCCTTGCAAAGTGGCTATATGAACACAAAGGAGACTGGAGTTCAAATCTGTTTCGGTATGTAAGTGCTTTCTTTTGCGTTTAAGAATTAATAAGTCGTAGAGAAAATAAGATCAATTGCAGATCTGGATTTGTGTCGGCAGGAGTATAAAAATACAAGAAATGCAAAGTGCACTGAGCTCGGTGCACCAGGGGGAGCTGTTGTCGTCGATGGCTATCTCGGGCGCTAACTGGGAGGGTGGGCGGCGGGAGGGGAGGAGGCCGCGCCGGCCCCCCCCCCTCCCGCGGCCGTGCGAGCGAAGAGCGTGCGGGACGCCTGGCGAGCGGCATGCTCGGGCACACCAACGGGAGGGGGCGGCAACGACCGTGGACGCCTTACTTTTGGCGGCGTTTAAAGCAAATCGTGCCCAAACTAAAGGTTCTTGGCCGTGGGCTGTGGCCGGGCGGTGGTGCCGCGGCGTGCGGCTGCTCAGGACTGAGAAGAAGCGAAGGTTTGCGCGAATACCCAGGCGGCCAAGAGGAGCGCGGGCAGCCCGGCTGCGGGCTCGGGGCCCCACGCCACCGCCGCCGCGCCGCCGGCGCCTCAGCTGCTCGCGCACCGACGGCGGCCGGGAGTGCGCGAAGCCACCTGCAAGCAAAGCGGCCGCCGCGTCTCCTCTTTTCAGCCAGGGGCAAAGAGAACGACGCTCGGGGGCGGGGGCGGGCGGGGCGGGGCGGGGCCTGAGCTCACGAGGGCCGCTCCTGGGCGCAGCGCCGGAACGAAACGAAGGTGTGCCCAGCACGCACTCCGGTCTTCTTAACCCTGAGCGACGGCGGGGGCGGACAGCCGAGGGCGGGGAACAGCAGACGAGAGGGGCACTGACACCACACAGGGGGCAATGGCTCGAGAATAAATGGCCAAAACGCAGGGGTTAAAAAGGCCGAGGTGCTGGCCGGGCGAAACAGAAAAAAAGAATAAAAACATAGCAATAAAATGCTGTTCAAAGGCAGGATATGATATGGAAAGCTTTTTTAAGATGTACCGTACCGCATTTCGAGGTTTGAATTTGCTGATAGTGATTACATTTCAGGATCTCCTTTGGAGCTAAAACTAAGCAAATGCAGAGAGATACGTGTTATTAATATCTTCGAAGAGGATGTACACTTAGGCAACTAAATATACAATAATTAAATTCCTATCTAATAAAGAACTGTCAATACTTGCGCACTTGGTACACTAATGAAGAGAAACAATGCAAGTCTAGGCATTTGGAGACTAAATATGGAAGCATTTCAAAATTGGTGTTTACACACTAACAGAGAGGCGCAATGCAATTCAATTCTTTACTGACAACTAAAAACCTGCTTGAAGAAAACTAGAAATCTGTTACATCATCATCTTATTCTAATCAAATTAATTTTAAAAACTATAGCAATTTCAGTTTTGATGCTAAAATATATCGATGCACAGTATGAAATCGCGAAAGAGAAATAGGCACACACTTATTATTTTAACTTTTACTTACGCTCGTAGGCTGCGGGAAGATTCTTTCGCTGCATTTACAGAAAGGAACGCTTATTTATGAAAAATGTGTAAACGGTTAAAGATCATTGTTCTTCGAATTCTGCGTGGACTGTTCGGCACATTTAAAGAAATGTATTAAATGTTTGAAGAAGGCAATCGTTCAGTTAAAAAAATAACCCGACTGCTCTACAAGAAATTTTATCTTTCAAGATGCGCATAAGATTGTTTAGAGTATTCATGCGGGTCCATTTGCAACAGCCATAGCATCGAATGTGTTTTAATAGGTCCTTTAAACCGACCATCTTAAAAAAAGATCTTTCAGTAACGCAGCTTCGTTTTTTAAATATATCGTTACACTACTCATTAGTTCCCGTCATATTAATTTACAACTCTTTATTACAGGCTGAATGAGATTATTCAGTTCTTCGATCATCAACATTCGTCAATAATTTCAAAAGCTAAGATGGAAGGATGAACAGAAATTACACGGTGAAAATCATAACCTACTTCCCTCGCGCAGTCGGGTAAAAAAAATGTATTTCAATAGCAAATTGTTGAAATAGCTGCATGAATTCTTTATCTACATTTAATACGTATTTTTGAAGTGAAGTATCCGAAATGTATGAAGGGCACGGTGGCTTCGGTTGCGTTGGGCAAAAGGGCCAGGGGGCGTGGCACTCACTAGGGCGGTTGCGGTCCGCCTCCTCCGCCAGCAGCTTCTCCAGCTTCTCCGGCAGGTGGCGCTTGGCGCACCACACCAGGCCGATGAAGGCCAGCACCACGGTGACGGTGATGAGCCCCAGCCAGAAGGGCTCCTGCAGCATGCGCTCCGACAGCGGCTTGAACGGAATGTTCATGATGCGCCGCTCGCAGCGCGGCCCTGCGGACAACAGCCGCACTCACTCTCGCGCCCGCTCCCGCTGAATTTGACAGTTAATAATATCTAAAACAAAACTTCAATATATGATAATTCGTAGCAATATTAATCAATTAACTTTAATTGTATTCATATGTAAGTGTTTAAATATTTACATGCTGGGGTTTTTAATTACCTGTGTCTGTTTACAAATGTCTCATAATCTTTTAATTACTTTCTAGCTACTGCTTACGCAGCACAAAGAAAGTATTGTAATGCTGAAATATTGGCATATCACTTTACTCAATCACTTTTACCACATAAGGATGTGTTAAAAATTAGTCAGATCAGTCACAACTGCATTGAACAATCAGCCCTCAGCCAGCACATCAACGTTGCGAACAAAATTTATTTTCCACAACCGAAGAAATCAAATCCCTAATGAGATTGCGATCGAAAAAAGTTCCACACAAAATATCCAAAATTTTCTTCCATCAAACACCATTCCGAAACCTACACCCAATAAAAACCACAATAGTCTCCTCCGCACATTATCCAAATTATTAGATATTATTTTTAAAGATTTAAAATGTACACAAATAAAACCAAAGCCATCCCTCACCATCAATTTGGATTCAACAATAACATCTCAACCTCTCATTATTTACTTTTAATAGTTTTGTTTTCCACAGAAAATGGAAAGTGATTACAATGATAATGTGATAAATATATTGTTTAAATCAATTGCTACTATAGTTGGAAACGAAATTGTCGGGGGAGGATTCATACATAAGCAGGCTAAACCCATCCTTAGGACTCACGCCATATAGGGTCTACAAATACATTTTTAATATTTGTCTTCGTAGACAATTAAAATAAATGGATTTTTATTAACGATACAAAAATTAATAAAAAATGATTTATACGATTAAACCGTAGATACCACACTTTCAAAAACTACTGCACATTAATATGGACAAAAATATTTTAAATTAATTTATATATTCTATAATTTAATTAAGTATTTATTAAATCTAAAACCGTTGTATATTTTATCGTATGTAATAAAGTTCTGAAATGAAATGTAGTAAGGTACATTGAAAAATGTATTTTTTATTATACTAATTCTGCAAATTGATTGAAAAATTGTAGATTTATTTTTAATAACATTTTATTTACTTTGATTTCATGGCGGCTCCACACATTCGGCATTTGCCAAGCAGCGGACCCTCTTCTCAGCAGCTGATGTGTTCGTTTTCATTAATGCTTCCTCAACACCGACACGCGGTGGATAAGGTGAACACCGAATTTCATTAATTCAGTTAATTAATCTTATTTTACGTGGCGAGACTCGGGTCATGAGGTCCCCTCTTCCGTCTGACCACACACATTTCACTACGCTACTCACCTACTAGTGGAGAAAGGAGTTATCACTCGGGCGTCGAAACAGAAGATTTAAATTTAGCTGAGAGGTGTTATTTAGGCTTGAGGATAGTTTAATGCAGTAAATCTACAACATGGGACAGCCGGCGTTACTTCCCATCTGAAAAAAGGCTTACGAAGAATTTTTCCGCCCTTAAAAATCCACGGCTTCGATCGGGGGGTTGAACCCGATTAAACCGCTGAACCTAATGTTCGTCACTCGGCAAATGGCAAACAACTCTTCAATACTACTGGAGATTTGGCGCGGGTTTGCTTGCTACTCGCCGAATAACGTAGGTGTGGAGCCGCCTTAATATTTCAAAGTGATTGAGGTTTTCCATTGGTGATGACGAGCACCTTCCATCCAGGCGTGGCAGACGCAGAAAAAGGAGTCGCTGCGCTCCACGCACTCGCCGCGGCCCTCGCACGGGTTGTCGGCGCACGGCCGCTGCTTCTGCTCGCAGTTGGCGCCCGTGTAGCCCGGCTGGCAGTGGCAGCGGTAGCCCGTGGCGGTGAGCTGGCACTGGCCGAACAGGCAGGGCTCCTGCTCGCACAGCGTCAGGGCGCAGAACATGCCCGTGAAGTGGCCGGTGCACTGGCACACGTGGGTGCGCCCGCCGCCCCCGCCGCCCGCCGACACGCACTTGCCGCCGTTCTGGCACGGGTTCGGCCGGCACGACTCCACGCCCGCCTCCTCCGAGCTGCGCAGGAGCTTCAGCTTGTACTTGGTGTCTGCGGACACAGACGCACGGTGGAGTCAAAACGATATCGGGAGTCATGACTTCCGAAGTCAAGAAAATTTATATCATTTTACAAAGAGAAAGCAAACTACAGGTATTCACTTATATTAAAATTAATGAGTAGATGCACCAAGAGTCATTCTTATTGTGTACTCGTATAGCATGTTTCAGAACGAATGTTACAATTTTCTAGGGTATGTAGCGGGATCGAAAATGATTATTTTGCCAATGAACATATTGTAGGAAATCTCATACAACAAAGTTACGTTTGAGTTATTTGCGTCAGTGGGAAAGGGAACTCATCATTGGTGTTTGGAGGTATACGGAATCTCTATGATGCCAAACATTTTTTTTCGAAAATGTGAGTAGTTTTTGTACATTTCTGCGTGAACCATAGGCAATTTTTAAACAATTATCTTGTCAAAAACGGCCCCAATTTTTCTTTATTTTTCCCTCGTATGTAGCAAAGAAAGAAAAGGAAAGTGGTCCTGTGTTACTTTCGGCGAATCCTCTGTGTTTTCGAAAATTGCAAACAACAAAAAATTAATATTGCACACATAGAATTTGAATGCTCGTTTTTTTGTTTGTTGAATGAAATGTGGTTTAAAACATCAGTTCTTTAATAGAGGTCACGTACATAAAATAGTAATTGAGTAGTTTTAAGGTAATTTTACTATTTTCGAATGTGTAAATTTACATTTCCCACGCCGCGAGCTGCCGGTTGAGTATTCTGAAAATTCCTTGTCATTGTTGGAAGATGTTATAGCTGTATGTAACATAATTTTAATTGTCGAATTTGTGTCGATATATTAGCTTTCAAAGAACTATTTTTCGCACCTTGTGTTCTACGATTTCTAATGAGTTTTAAAAGTGATGACCGAGATGTATAATTATGGACAGAGATTGCGGCATTATATTTCATAACCATTACTAAGTGTGAAAACGTACGTGCTGTTGTAGTTATTCTAAGAACAGGCCAAACATTTCGAAGTGTGTGCAAAATATCGCGAAACGTGTGCGAAACATGTTTTGTGTAGGGCTTGTTAAAAAATAATATACATGAGTACGCAAGATGACTTGCGCAAATGTCATATAACTTACTAACCATCATACCCGCAGAGTGTAGCTCAGAGCCAGAATAGCTCTGCCTCTGCGGCGACTCAGTCCAGGAGGTCCTGGGGTTCGAGTCCCGAGAGTGAGGGATTTTAAAATCTAGCAATGTTTCCTATGAAGGTGACATGCTGAGTGGCTGACATCTCCGATTGGGAGTTTTCTGTGGTTTCTCTCATCAATAACAGGCGAATGTCGGAGCAGTACCCAAACAACCGGGTTTCTTCTTTCCTTCCTCTCCTCTTACTCAACTACACTTACATTAGAATACACTACACTACCATTCATGTGGGGTGACCATTAGGAGCTCACGAGTGTATCCCGGCTGATGCGCTGCCCCATTGGGGGAGTTGTCTGGAGCCGAAAATCCCCCAAGTAGACGTGTAGGCCGGTGGTGTATCTCACCGTGCGGCAAAGGAGGAAATCCACCTCCTCCCGGGATAAATTAAATCACAAACGAGACTAACGATGGCAGCAGATGAGGTGCCCGGAAACATCAATGACTCAAGCCACACCCCCATCATTCCACATCCGGCGAAGCGGGGTTTTGATTTGTTAGTGGTTACGGGCGCGTCATCTTCTAAAGTCATTAGTCCCGTTGGTATGATGCACTTTTTTTTATCGCGGGAGGTGGCGGTTACTTCCCCCTGTAGATGGCGAGATCAGGTGCCGACCTACACGTCGGCTAGCGGAATTTTCATCAACTATGTTTCACCCGTCAGTCGTGCACGATCCGAGCCGGGACGAGCCCTAAGATCTCGACTGGTATACCGAAATAGGTGGTATGCAAGCGTAAGTGTAATTGAGTGAGGGGAGTGGATAGGACAGGAAAGGAGAAGGAAAGATCGCGCGATCCATGGCCCGTTGGTTAGGGTATTGCTCCGGTATGCGCTTGGTATACATGGAAGAAGCCACGTAAATTTCCGATTAGAGCAGCAGACCACTAGAATCTTCCTCCATAAAGCGGCTGAATTGGAAGTAGGCATGTTGAAACTCTTGCCACAGTGGGCGCTGAGGCTGACCTGGCTGCACCCGCACCGTGGCGTTGAGGCGCACGCCGCGCGCGCCGCTGCGCTGCCGCACGTGCAGGGTGTTGAAGTAGGAGGCGATGGCCAGCGGCTGCGGGGGCGGCGGCGGCGGCGGCGGCGTGGCCGCCTGGCCCTCCGCCGCCGCCTCGCACAGGAACCACCAGGTGCCGTTGGCGTCGGCGTAGGTGTCGGCCACCTCGATCACCCCGCCGCCCCCGCCGCACGCGCCGCCCTCGCTCAGCGTCACCTGCGTCAGCCGCGGCCAACGGGACAATTGCAGGCGCCGCGACCCCCCGTCGTGCACAGGAGCACAGGAATATGTCACTTTGGAAATAACCTCTTCAATTTTGTATTTGACTTGCATTGCTTTTTCAGACACCGTTTACCCTAAGACACTTTATTGAACAACTGCAATACCGATATTTCAAAATCAAATAATGGGGTCAAATTGACTTTGGTAAACAGGTAAATTAAATAAATTAGTACAAAATGGTTGGTGATTATTTAATTAATGATTTCAATTGGGAACTTTGTGAAATTGAATTAATGAAATTGTGTTAATTGACGCAAGGTCATCCGGTCTTTTACTGTTACGAGTTTTGTACCTCGTTTTCTGAGTCAATGACCCCCTTCTCGACCAAGTCTGAATCTCATCCATTTTCACTATTAATCCTTTGAGAAAATGCAAAATCGGGCCCTTATTTTGCTTCTGGACATAAATGTAGCTTGACTATCTGTGCATGTTTTCTTAAGCTCAGAGGGGAATGTAATTATTGAAATAATCGTCCTCCATGTTGTCGCGTCAGTAAGTCAATTCCTTCACGTAGGGCACGATAAGGAAATCTAACCAAAATCTGTAGTTGGTTTGCCTTTGCATTTAGTCTGTATTAGACGGGGTGGAATATTTTCTTATGAATTCTCGCCAAAAACGCTCGTCGCTGCCGGCAATCACGATTACACTCTATAAATATGCGTTAGGTTAGAATTCCAAAACCTGAAGAAACCGTGTAAAAATTGCACTTCTCCTTGTAGTTCATCTGTCTCTCGAAGTGAAAAAGGCAAACCGACCTGGTGCAGCTCGAGCAGGATGACGTGTCCGGGCGGCGCCAGCAGGTGCTGCACGAAGTCGAGGTGCGGCGGCGCCGGCGCGGGGTAGTTGAGGTGCAGCAGGGAGCCCAGGGAGACGTTCTGCAGGTCCAGCACCCGCTCCTCGCGTGCCTGGCTCACTGCAACGCACCCGCGCCCCCTCGGACTCACTCCGGCGCTCGCCCCGGCCTCCTGCCCTCGGCGGGCGGGGTCACCGGGCCGGGCCCCGGACGGCTTGGCGTTCGTTTACGTGTCCGGGCAAGGCAATAGGCTCTGTTACTGTTATTAATGTACTTTGTTGCTTCCGCAATGCTATAGAAAGGCCCAGGATGAGCCTCTCAATGACACAAAAGTGAAGTTATTGAGGATGGGGCTGGGGAATGGCTCTCCGACTGTGGAAGTTGAGCCTCGTAACGAAGGTGGATACCGCAGGTGGTTTTGTCAGTGTTGAGTGAATAAAAAAATCGATAAGATTTTTACTTTTTGCAGTTATCAGCAACGCTTTGTTATTGTTAATGTTTAGTGACGCATTGCGTATCCAAACGTTCGCGAAGGGCTGCAATGGTAAGATAATACTAGACGAATTAAATACACGTGTATATGTTTATACGATATATGATAGCCGTATGTGATTGTGTGATTATAAAATGTGAAAGTGTACGTAATAAATCAACAAAAGCGGGATTAAACACAATGAATTTCTCGTATTATTAATTAATCTTTCCTATTTAAATTTAATGCTGCAGGAATCGAATGTGTTCACATCCTGTGAATTATTTAAAATTGTGAAAATAATTCATTGAGTTGAATCGAACTTAGTGCATGATTTTAACTTTCTAATTAAGTCATGTTTGGTTAAAAAAAACGATTTTTATTATATTAAACGATTTACATGACCGAAGAAATTCAGTTTATCCGCGAGAAAGAACAAAGAGCGAAAAGGCTCAGGGCATTGGATCTGCTCTCCTTCCTTTCCTTTCAAACACGAAATCGTAAACACAATAACAAAGAGAGAACGAGATTCACATTAAATCTTGTAGTATATAAATACGTTTTTTGAAGCGTTCATGAATGAACCTCGCAGCTAACACAGATGTTCAATCAAAGAACTTGCAGCTGAATTTTATTTTTTTGGAACTGGATGAATCCAACGGAGCCCACTGGGGGCGGGGCATCTCTTGGGGGAACGCTGAAAAGCGCCCAGGGGGCAGGGGGCGGGCAGAGGCCGAGGCGTACCTGTGCGGCACACGGCGCCAAAGAGACAGAAGCTACATGAAAGAACGTTGTAACTATTATATGAAATCATAGGCTTCCGCAATCGGAGTCATCTGACATATCTCGGCGGTTCGAGCAACTAACAATTTGAATTCGACCAAAAAATTAAGAACTGTTTGTAAACGTTTAAAACTGAATTTGTGTTCAAAAATATGAATAAACTATGGGAAGAAAAATAAGAATATTTTTGTACATATGCAATGCAAAGAGAAAGAAATGAAATGCATCTAGTCTAACACTTTTAGCGACAACTTATTGTGTTGGAAACACTGCGGCACTGGGAGAACAGTGTACCAGAGCAGTTCCTTGGGGAACGCCAGTGTTTTGCCAAAAGCTCTCAAATGGGGACGCCAAGGTCCATGAAGACCCGAGGGGAAAGAAAGGGACTAAGAGGACAAGGGTGTGGAGGGTGGCCAGGGACCAAGAGGGTGGAGGGAAGGGACCTGTAGGAGATAGAGAGGAACGAAGGATTGGCAGTGGCTCGAGAGGGCTGAAGTGCAACAGGAGGGGTCAAAAGCAAAGGAGATGCACGCGAGTGCGGTAGACGAAGGAAGCAACGGGGAAGCGAGAGGGTATTCGAGGGCTTGGCGGTCGCACGGAGCCGCGAGGGGCGCACCTGTGCGGTAGACGGCGCGGAATCCAGCGCCGCGGGGGCGCGCGCGCGTCCGAAGCCGCACGCGGAGCGCTCGCCCGCCGACAGCGAAAGCGTTGCCGTCCGTCAGGTGGTCGCGCCGCCTTGGAAGGGCCGGAAGCAGGCTGACCCGTCGCCCAGGTCCACCTCCACGGCGCGTGCGCCGCCTCGCCCGGCCCGCCCCCACCCAACCCGCCCTCGCCCCCGTCACCCGCGCCCGCACCCGCGCCGACGCCCGCTCCGCGCTCCCCCAGGTCGAAGTCGGTGAACTCCAGCCACACCTTGCGACCGGCTGCAACACACGCAATGCAGGAATAACAACTCTCAAAGAACAGGGTAAAGCTTTCTTTGTGTTAAGGGGAACATTTCAGATGATTGTGGCTTTGATAGTCGCTCTGTTTAGCGAAATCATGACAAATGTAACTGTTTGATTCACCCAATAAGAAATCTCAAGTATACCGCAATGTTTAATGATTATTCTGCTATTAAAATGTGTAAAAATAGTATGTAGAAATGAAATTCTACATTTTGTTAAATAAAAATATTTAGATGATGAATAGTTCTTGAGATTAACATGAAATTCACAAGGGTAATTTTATCTCATGTCGAACATCTAGTTTTTTGCTGACATTTCGTATTTTATAACGTCTAAAATCGAAAAAAACTCATGTTTGTTATCGTGTTTAGTTATTTTTCATTTATATTCTTGAGTTTTCTGGTAAAAAGTTTTCCTAGATTTTATTTGCGAATATTTGCAACAATGTGCAAAAAAACGCTAAAGAAACAGTTTTACATAATGCATAACTAACTAATTTTGGGGGAAATGAATTTAATCTCTTCAAAATTAATCTATTTTAAATTTTTCATGTTTCAAAATTCAAATTTTAAAATTGAACCTTTTTTAACAAAAACAAAAACTCTTTATCAAGTAAGTTTTGGGTTCGATTTGAAGGGGCCCTCTCATTTCAATGACTTAAGACAACAGAGAACAGCATTCCTTAAGGAAATTTGATTGATTTGTATACTTTATTTGTTAATGGTAATTCAATGATTTCGCTTAAAGGAATTTCTATGATCACTGAATACTCAACAAAGGCAAAATGATATTTCACTACGCTGATTGCGGCAAAAAATGTAATTTTTACGATGTAGACTTTTAAAGAGTAGGGTAAACTGATGTTTTGCCAATAATTTTCTTCATGAAATATTTAATTCCGGAAAACTCCTAATCGGGGATGATTCACTAAACAGTGGTGCAAAAATGTACTTTATAGTTTGATCATCTTATGTGCTCATCATAAAAAAACGCAAAAACTATATACAGAACGTGTCAAAATAAATATTACAGCCTCTACTAACATGTAGGGGAAAGGCAGGTGATACGTTTTTGCCAGGACAAGTTGCAGGAATTCTCATATGTCAAAATTACACAAGCGTCATTGAACCTTGATTGATAGGCAAACATCGGGCTTTTGGGCTTCGCAGGTTTGCACACTGGCGCAGTCAAAGGATATCATGTACCTGGCGAACACCTGGTTAAAGATTTGCTTAACAGTCAGGGGAAGATATTAAATACTTAATCTTAGGGTGCATTGACCTGGGAAACTTCATGAATGCATATAAAGGGCCTGTCAGGCCCTTCGCAATACCTCTCCACAAATGAACAAAACAATTGTTTTTTATGCTTATTAACTTCATTTCTTAGTAATTTCAATCTAAGTCAATGTCTAATGTTAAACAAATGATTATTTATTTAAATAACTATGAATAGGGAACGTAATAGAATAAAATTTTAGCACCTATATAACCCACAGGAATTTTTCCTTTGATAGTGACTAAAATGAATGTAAGATAAAAGAAAGATCTCCCTGGGGTCGAGAGGCCCTGTCCTAGGGATGACCGAGGGCGCGGGCGCGGGCGCGGGCGGGCGACTCACGCGGGGCGAGGATGGTGGTGTTGCAGTCGAGGCGCGCCATGAGGAAGTCGGGGAAGTTGGGCGAGGTGAGCTCGCCTTCGCGGGCCGTCAGCGTCAGCTGCGGGCAGCCCGACACGTCCACGGCCTTCCATGCCGCCGCGAAGCCCGCGCCCGCCTGCGAGTAGTCCGAGTGGAAGCGCAGCGTCGCCTCGTTGCTCCAGGACACGAAGTGGAACCTACGCCGCAACGCCGCAACGCCTTGCGTCACGTGGGGCAAAGCCACACAAAGAGGAACAAGAGAAACCAAGAGGGGGAGTAAGCAAAGACAGAATGATGAGAAAGAGAAATTAGGAGGGTAAATAGAAAAGGAAATGTGGCAATACAGGATTGGGGTATCAGAAAGAAGGGAGAACATAAACAGAATAAAAATAAAATAAATGCCGAGAAAGGCCAGAAATTGGGAGGAAAAATAGGAAAGAAAAGGTGAGAATACAGGAGTGGTAAATAGGAAAGAGAGGAAAATAAGGATGGGTAATGGGAAGGAGGAGAGGGCGAGAATGAAGTTGGCTGGTAATGGAGTAAGAGGGGACAAGTGTGTGTGTGTGTGTGTGTGTGACAGAGAGAGAGAGAGAGAGAGAGAGAGAGAGAGAGAGAGAGAGACAGACAGACAGACAGACAGAGAGGGGAGAATCTGGGAGAAAGTGAGAACAAAGAATGATCAGAAAGGGGAAAAAAGTTCAAGGAGAGAGAAGCAAAAGGCAATAGTTTATGTGAGCATACAAGAACAAAAGATAATGAAAAAACGGGAGCAAGAGGAGTGAAAGCAAAAAACTAAAGCTACTAAATGTCAGGAATAGGACCATACATTTGGTGACAACTTAAGAAGTGCTTGTATAAATTAATGACACGAAATGTGCAAAAACATTTTATTTAAAATATATCTTATTAGTATATCTGGTTAAATGGAGCCGTGGAGAAGGCAGTTATATTATTGAATACAAATCTCTCTACTTCCTTTTTCGATTGTAGAGGTCCTTTTCTTGGAAGATGTTATTGCAACACCTGGAAACTTAACAAACGTTTATAATATTTGTGCGCGTTTCTATTTTTTCTGTGAAGAATAGTAACTCCGAAGTAAACTTCATAAACTTGGAAAATAACTCTATATGGGATTATTTTACTCAAAATATATAATGTAACGATAATCAAGTGACTGATATGTCAGCTGAGTTTACAAGCAACAACTGCAGAACGATAGAGAGATATTACGAAAGTAGATATTTACAATCTGAAATGATACTTTACTCTGCGTGTGGAAAACTTCTACAACTTACACTACTTGTTCTAGTTCTTATAATAGTAGCTTAGTGTTACTGATCCAGAGCACATTGGTGACATCATTATAATACTAGTACCTGAGCATATACGGTTATACGGGAAACATACGTTATACACGGAACAGGAGAGATTTGAAGACTGGTATCCAGATATTGAAAGACTGTCGGACTAATCGCTACGATACGAGACACATCAGTAGACAAAATGATGAGCAATATGATATGTAAGAAAAAGAATAAAGGTGGCGAAGGTGGTACAATGGGTGAAAACTGGTACACGCCGAAGAAACCTGCTTCAAACCCTCTCCATTCACCACAAATTTCACATGGAGTTTCTGAGGTTTGACACTGGGAGCCAGAGGTATTCATCATTTTACAGCACATGAACACTTCAATGCATGAAGACAGACCCATAATCGATGAATAATCGGTCTGAGATCTATATTGGATCACTTCTTAACAGAACATTTAGAGACAAAATGATTTCGTGTAGTTGGCACTTCTTAGAAGGGTGACTAATAAATTGCCTGTAATACAACAGAGGGAGATCTGGAGTGAGCCAACATGTCAGATTTTATGGAATAGGAGTTACTAGAGAATAAAAATAACCACGTTTATATTTACGTAAAGATCACCGCTAGTGTAACATGCAATTTTGTCATGGTTCCCATGTCGGCGTTTGGTGACTTAGGTGATTGAAATTTATCAGCAAACGATGCCATACAAATGACAAACGAAGGTGAAGTGATGGGCAGGTGAATCGGGAGAAAGTCGAAAACGCCTGTACCAAATCTACTTTGTTCTGCACAAACACCATTTATTTCAAGTTATCAGTCTTTGAACACCGGAGCCCAGAGGTGGAAAGCTAGTACCATTAACGTCACGATACGGATCGCGTGAAGAGGAAAAGTAGATGAGTAATGGCCTGTTATGTTTCGTATATCGTAAACACGAGAAGATACTGCAATGGGCGCAGACACATTTTAAAACCATCTGTCGTCGTTTTCCCCCGGTAAGGCGTTAACCATCAGCTGGATTACTTATAACAACGATGATAATGTAAAATTGCAGCGAGTAATAATTATAACAACGATGGAATACATTGAGTAAGTTTTCACTGAACGGCAAGCAATGATGTGTGCCCTCTAGCTGATTTGTGGCACGTGAAACAACCTCAAGACTAAATGATGCCTCTGACCCAAATTGTAAAAACCAGTGGTACTGTGATGATACTTCTCGCGGTCGTCTGGACCCTAGAAATGCGAAAGGAATGTAATAAAATGCATCGTTAAAGTAGAGAATGTTCGGTCAAGAGTTCCATTTTCGTTCTGTAAGAATCCTGCACAGGAAGATCCAGCAGTGAAAATCGCGAGCAGTGGAGATCTAGCGAGGTAGCTGCTACGCTATAGGCCACGTCGCCGTAGTGCAGACGCACAGCAACGTTTATAGAGACATTTTTATAAGAATGAGCTAATGTGTCTGTTCGCTAAACGAGTGTAATCATCCAAACCATCACGTGTAATTCAGAGGCGTATCCCTCAGCCGCGCCTTTGGGTGAAGAGTGAGTCTGCGACTCCAGCGAAGACATCGCTACACCACATAAGAGTTTCGCTGAGGTATAGGCACGTACGCGAGTCCGTGAAATATTGAAATTTAATTACGTATGTGGAAAAATGTTGTAACATGTTCTCATATTAAGTAAAAGAAAACTGCCATGAATGTGACTAAAAAGAAAAATTATTTTTCGGGGAACGTTCAAATACGTTTTCTGGGCATTTCACAGTGAATAGCTCCTGCATTTGTGTAGTGAAGAGTGGTTTATTTAAAAATATTACACATCGACTATCAAAACTTACTACTATGCTCTCAAAATTCAAATGTGACGTGTTCTATTGAATTGCTTGTATGCCGCTCATGTTTTGCATGACAATGCATTCCTTAACCTATTTTCGCTTCTTATTTCTTGGATGAATAATAAGCACATTCTTTATATTAACTCTTACCAATTAAATAATTGAAGTAGTGAGTTCTATCTTTTACTTTATTTTTATATAATAAATATAAAAAAAACGGAACCACGAAACGCTCACGAACACAGCCAGTCATTTTACAACGCTAAAGACATGTAAACCGTCACCCTTACGCATCTTACATTCAAGACTCGATTTTAAAACAAACATATCGTTATCACGTATCGCGTAAAGATTAAATTAAATGTAATGTTTATAAAAAACATACAGAAGAGCACATTGCTCTGCTCTTCCTAATTTCAATTATTTCCCGTGGCGCACTAAATTTTCGTCGGACGAGGACATCACAAAAGGAAGTGTTGAAGCCATTTACAAGTTCGCCAACTGCTAACGAAAGAGAGTCTATTAGGCTGAAGGACATAACGAACCTTCTATTGTGCTGCCAACACTAGCTGTCAAAACGTCCCATTCTTATAAAAATCGCTCTATACCGGTGAGGAGAGCTGATTAGTACAGGCATGCGCACAGGGCAGGCAGGGGGGTCGTGACCCCTCGGGGGTCCGTTAGCCCTACGTGATAAAATATTTTATTTTCCTAGCTATGTTCAATCCCTTGTATTACCCTTTTAACGTGACAATTTGGGAAATTGATACATTTGGAGAAGAAGAGGACTCTCCACGATTTCTCGGAATCCTGTAAATAATTCTGCATAAAATAAATTGTATTTATTAAATGTATAATTAAATTTAAAATTGAATTTGCTTGGAAACATTTGGTTTATTTTATTCAGCATTGAGTAAACAAAGTATATATTTTTAATTAATAATCATAGAATACCGCAATATATCTCTGGTGCCAACACGGAGTTAGTTTTATTTTTTTAGTTGTGAGCGCATGCTTTCACGGCCGGAGTCAGTAACTATTTGACTGTCTGGGAGGCGTCGCGTCCTAGGTACAGGTTGCAACGATTCGGCCGCCATTCTGCGACCTTCCTCAGGGCGAAATGCGATACCGTCATTACCATTGGCATTCCCGGACAGCCGAACTCCAGCTATGCTGAATAGGAATGTGTCGCCCGCTGCGCACGCGTGCGCTGCGCGGAGCCTCACCGCTCCATGTCGGTGTCGTGGCTGCCGCACCAGCGCACGGCATGCGCGTCGCGGGCGTCGCGGGCGTCGTCGGCGCGGGCGCTGGCGTCAGTGGGCGGGCCGCCGCTGCGCAGCTCCACGAAGTCGTACAGGCAGTCCTGCTGCGGCTCCAGGTCGATGCGCGAGAACTGCACCACGAGGCGCGTGCGCTCGGGCCCCACCAGCTGCACCCAGTAGTCCAGGTTGTGGTTGTAGTTGGCCGGGTAGTTCTGCGACGTGAGGAAGCCCTCGCTGCCGTTCACCGTGCGGTTCAGCGACAGGCTGCTCCCTGCAACTGCGCATGCGCAAGCGCGCCACCTCCGCGTTAAAGGGGTATTGCGCACCCGTCGCGAGACAAACACTCAAACACTTAATACTTCTTTAGATTAATAATAGCGTCTTGTAAAGGAGGCTCCCGCGGGTAGTTCATTGGTCAGTATAGTCGTTGAGCATGACGGTATCCCGGGCTCGATTCCCGACCGGGGCAGATTATAGTCTACACTTTCCTTGCAATGTCCCAGTATCTGTTGCTGTGTGACGATGCGAATGCTCACTTCTCAAGTTGTGAAGACCACAGATGTCTACGAGCTAACCACATGTACTCCTTAATCCATGGTCGTAAGGCCCGGGTGTCGCTGGGAGGCCTTATATATTGAAAAAAAAAGAAGATTTTTGTCTAAAATAAAATCTGTTCTAAAAAAATAGAAATTTAAAAAAAGTAACCCCCCCCCTCCCCCGAGATTTCTAAGGAACAGGGATACTGTATGGTTATGTGCTCCCTAACTCTGCAGTAATAGCTACTGTTCAGCGTGTTGCCGTGGCGAGAGGTTGTGACAGCAACGCTACCTTGTCAGTGTAGTCGGCGTCAAGTTGAGCACTCAGTGAGTTGCGAGTGCTCGTGAAGTAACCGCAGTGTTTTCAAAAGTTATTCCATCTCCTTAACCAATAGTGAACAGATAAAAGCGATTTACCGTGCTCTAACCTCAGACAGAGCATCAAAGAAGCGATGCAGGCCGTGAACAACACTACGCCCGCCCTTGCAAAATTCATTGGAGTACCAAAAACAGCTCATCGTAGATCAGCAACATCAGCAAATACAGGCGCAGCTGCATCAATTTCAGGAACAGCACCAACAACTGATACAATTGCAACAGCAGGACGCGCAAGTACAAAGCAACCAACGCTCTAGTCGGCCGGCCTTGCAACACAGTGCACCTGCCCCAACAGAACAAAGTGAGCCCAAAAGACAAAAAACTGGATGTGTTTCACGATATGCTATCCCTACAGGAAACTGGTTCGAAACATTAAACAATGAAACAGATGAAGACGAACACATCAGTTCCGAAGAAACAGTGATTAAAATTCCTCCTATAATTATACACAAAGGGGAAAATTTTCAACTATTAATAAATGATATTAAAAGTGTAATTAAAGAAAATTTCACAACAAAAATAGAATGTAGACATAATGAAAGTTAAACTCAATTCAATAAAAGATTTCAGAGGTCTTCGTACATTGTGTAACGAAAACAACATAGAATATCACACGTTTCGTGACCCAAGCATAAAAACATTTTCAATTTGTAATTAAAGATATTCACGCATTATATAGTGAAACAGAAATCTTCCAAGAAATAGTGAAAAAATACCCAGTAATCAAAATAACTCGCCTTCACGGAAAAGGCAGAAAACCATTAACAACTTGTGCTGTAGATTCAGAGGACAATAACAAGGGAAGGAGCATTCTAGCCTTACATAGATTTTTACTGGATACTAGTAGTTAAAAATTCAACTGCTTCATCTATATCGAATTCACATTTTAGAGGAACGTTTGCAGTAATATTTACATTAATCCATGTTTGAAAGTCACTCCAATTCGTTTTTTATTGAAAATACTAGGTTTAAAATTGTTATCTATTATATGGGAGCTAATAGTTAATATGACTGGAGAGTGATTCGAGAGAATTCGAGAGAATTTTCAATTTATGTAAAGCTCTGATGTGTTCCTTTCATGATACAGAAATCAAGTAATTCCGGTATCTTATTACGGTCGGTTGGCCAGTACGTTGGCTCTCCTGCCGATAGCGGTTCTGCGTTGAGTGATGTGACTATGTTGAGCAGTGTTGGCAGACCGTTGGCAGACGAGAACTTCACGTGTGTAGTATGGTGAGTTACGTTTTTAAAGGAAACGTAAATTATTGCTGAAGGTGGTTGCTGAAGCGGTCAGCTGTTGCTGAGTAGAGCAACGCAGGCGAGTAGTTTTCCCATGACTACGCATGTTTCTCATAATAGTTCTCAGATAGCTCAGATCTGACTCTAGCCTAAAATACGCTAATTCCCAATACTGAGATTCTACTCCCTCAAAATCACGAAAGTCTACTGTTGTCACCATGAGTCAAAAGAGTACAGCCCATTGGCAGAAAGTAGAAGAGAAGAATGGACAGGGTGGGGAAAGAATTATTGTATGCGGTTCATGGTTTGTTGTTTAAGGTATTGTCCCGGAATCTCTTTGTGGGTGTTTGGAGGCAGCCAACAAAACAACCGACCGAACTCACATGCTTGCAGAAACTCCATTGTTCGACTCTCGATATGTGATGCTTTGACATGTGATGATTTGACAACAGAATTTTTGCATTAAGATTACCCACGATTAGAGACAGACGTTCATAAGATATTTGTGGTAGTCTGGTATTACTACGACTATAATAATATTCAACTCCATTTTTTGGGTTAAGCTTTCCGTTTGAAACTATGAAAATTATATGAAAGAAATACTTTTTTTAAAACCAGAGATATTTTTAACAATTTGTGAATTAAGAAATACTGCTAAATACTGATTTAAGAAAGAATAATATATTCCTGTGTTTTATGACAAATTATACTAACAGAAGACGCGACGTCGCTGGGTAGAAACAGAATTTCTGTTGCACAATTGCACAATCATAAATACAAATTAGCATCGCTCATTGTTTCGACGCACGGCATGTCGTGCTCTTACAAATTTCAAATACTGCACTATTATTAGCAGTTTGTAATTGAATTTGAAGGTCCATCTTCTCTTTCTTGGTATATGAATCATTTAACAAACTATTTTGGAGAATATTTTGACAAATGTTAGTAAAATTCAATCTAGACAAATAACAGTCCATTAAATCACTATCACGAAACAATAATAATACTAATAGTAATATTAATACAATAATAATAATAATAATAATAATAAACGATGACGTAAAATACTGAATAAATAAGTTTTTTACCAATCAAGACCGTGATGAGGAAATCCCTATACAGTATTTGAGCAACTCCGAGTGGGCGTGCGTTCGGATCCGTCTCTGTCGGCTCGGCTACTTCCCTACACAAATCGGGACACATGAGGTGTCATTCGACGTGTCTCGGCCTCCCCACGGGGAGCTGATAATTTGTTTTTGGATCCGAACAGAAGATTGAAAATAAATGTACAAAATCGTGTTTTTTCGTGTTTTGGCGCTGTGATCTTTGTATGACGGGAATTAAACCAATGCCACCTAAACAAGTCTATGTAAGGGGTGTTGATTAAACGCTATTACACTGTGGTTATTTTCAATCTTGATAACCATAATTTTCTTCCATGATGATGGCAACACTGATTTTTGATAAACGAAAAAAAATTAAATGATAATCGCCCGGCGGAATTTGTTGTAAATTCGTAAGTGTGAAGTATTTCATGCGCTTTTTATAATGAATTTATATATCACCTAGGAACACTAAATTTGAAGTGAATGCGAAGGAAATAAGAACTGTAAGTAATACTAGAGAATACATTTTTAAGCGTGCAAACAGATATTTGCACGCTCTATAAATAGATGCCTTCAGAACACAAATCAGGCTGAGTTTGTGGAGTTTAAAAATTTAAAAAGGGGGGGAGTTTGTGGAGTTTAAAAATTTTTATAGGGGACAAATACACCAAATTGTTAAGAAACTCCGAGAAATCAAATATAGTTTTAGAAGAGTTCTCGTCAGAATTTTTCGAACTAATTGAGAATTGTCTTGTATGAGTATTAGAGAATACCGCAGAAGAATAGCTTACACGTGATCATTTATGTTCTTATTAAAAAACAAAATATAAAAATACAGCATTACTAAATTCTAACAATTAGCATCATTCATATGTCCTGTCCTGTTCTTGGCTCCACAGCCCGATTCGGACCTTTGCCGACCAGTGTTGACCCAGCCTCTCGACCGTGGGATAGGGGGTTCGTGTGGTTAGCAAAAAGACATCCCTTCACCGTATATACTGGTATTCTTAATCCTTTAAGTGCTACAGGTCCGCCGACTGTGAGTCACGCCTCTTGCATCAAGCTTCTCTCTACGGGTCTCGATGTGAGCTGAGCTCGCTCACACATAGATGACTCGCAAAATATCTCATTTATCAGTAAGCCCTGGAGATATCCGAAAGCACGTCTGCACGAACGACCTCGTCCAGAGGCGCCCGGGATATCACGGTTCCGCGTACAATCTCGTCCAGACGCACCAAGCGCCAACCTGACTGAGCGTAATAACTCGTTCAGAAGCTACTACGCGCGGAAATATGTTGCGTATCAACTCATCTAGAACAACCTTGGGGAAGGATTTCTCATCGTCTCACAGCAATAAATATTGGGAGATTTGTAAGGGAGGCGCACAGTTATAATTTGCGTCGGAAAGGAATGTACCGGGTATTGCGCCGTGGAAAGCGAGCATGCCAACCAACGAGCCACCGGAAATGGTCGTAATTCATCTACCTGCAAGTGTATTTTACGACAACTATAATTTTGAATTGCAAATATTATCAGTTCATATCCTGTATGGAAATAATATACAAGGTCACTCCATGTGGGGAATTTTTGAAAGGGAGTATAATATTAACAGCTACAACGATTCATTGGTAAGTCCAAAGTCAGATACTCTCATAGTACACTCTTGGAAACATAAAATTTCGCGTCGAAAATGCCTTGGCCCGGCAGGTTGATGGCGCTGGATATCCCTGCTTGCCGACAGCTCTATCTAACGTTTATTTTCGAAACTACGTTCTGTAGATCGAACTATAGGCATATACTTAATGTTCATTTCTCTTTATTTTCTATGCATCGGCACGCGGTCGGTATTTGGTCGCCTTTCTGACCTTTTGCCTGAAAAATCTGTCAACCCAGTATTCTGTGTACCCAGGTATGATTAGGGACATATATTCTTTATGACATAGTGTTTTTTTCAATTTGTGTGTGGAGTGTGATTGCATTCATAGTTTCAGGAGCGCAATTGCAGGAACATTCTAAAC